TCTTTATTTATTTCTATATACATATATTCATGTATATGTCTTTTCATCTATTAATTTATGGATTTGTCTATGTATCATTCAATTATACAACTATACAATCTCTCCGCGCTCCCACTTCCTCTCCTCTCTCTGGCTAAATGTTTGCCAGCAGAGCCTCCCTCGCCCGTTCCATATCCTTGATCTCGCCTTTGCTCGGCCTCCTTTTTCCTGAACTAGAGCCACGTTTCGCTAATATCTCACTAACAGCATCGTGGTTGCGACTGCTTTCGTGTCTGGCGGATATGTATTTTTGCCATAAGCAAAAGAGATTTAAAGACAGATCAATAGGAAGTTAGATAAATAAACATTCTAAATGTTGAGAAAAAATGATTGACGATAAAATGTAGTTGATAAAAGAGAATAGAGAACAATTATAGTCATATAGAATCAAATATATGCCATACGCCCTTCTTGAGGAATTCGTGGAAGAAGAAAGAGAAGGAGGCTGGATAGCCGAAGAGAGAGAGATAATAATTATAATGATTCCAAATAAATAACGACCAAGGAATTGTCTCCAAGACTAACGATAACAGAGGGAAATATCGACCTCACGATAACAAATTAACACAACAAATGGCGGGAAAGAGAAACTATTCTTTTCCTAGCGTTTAAAGAAGCGAAGTGACAAAAACATAGAAATTAATGCAAAAAGTTTGAAAGAGATGTTCAAAACAAAAAACAAAAAAACAAACACCACGATAAATCGAACTTTTCTGTCGCTTCGCCGCGTACCCAATGACCCCATGTCGACTCGTCAGGCCCCGCCCACTAACCCATCTATCTCATTCTTGTATATATATATGTGTATGCGTTCGTACCTACATCCCCCACCCTGTTTTAGGGGAAGATAAATGCATTCGGCGTGGCGAGGTGAGGGAGAGAGAGACAGAAAGAGAGCGTGTAGTGTGTGTGTGTGTGAGAGGAAGATGAAAGATAGAGACAAAGATACAGACAAAGAGAGAGAGAGAGAGAGAGAGAGAGAGAGAGAGAGAGAGAGAGAGAGGAGAGAGAGAGAGAGAGAGAGAGAGAGAGAGAGTGAGAGAGAGAGAGAGAGAGAGAGAGAGAGAGAGAGAGAGAGAGAGAGGGGGGGTGGGGTGGAGAGAGAGAGAGAGAGAGAGAGAGAGAGAGAGAGAGAGAGAGAGAGAGAGAGAGAGAGAGAGAGAGAGAGAGAGAGAGAGAGAGAGAGGAAGAGAAAGAGAAAGAGAGAGAGAGAGAGAGGGGGGGGGGGTAGAGAGATAAAGAAAGAGGGGGGATGGAGAGGAGAGAGAGACGAGAGACAGATATATATATATATATATATATATATATATAGAGAGAGAGA